GATGCGTACCAAAAGGACACACACAGGTCATGAAAAAGGACGGATCATCGATGGTTCTGCCGATGGGTGGTTACTGCTTGACACTTTGTACTACTCGGGCTATGTCCAGTACTTATTCTTCTCGCATACAGTGAATGCGGAGGGAACTTTGGCTTTTCTCTTTTATTTTTATGCGAATTTTGTCACTGATTTTCCTCTTGATAGCCACTTACTGTATGCAGATCTGTGGAGAAAACTAAACTGAAAAGAAATCTGACAAAATGCAGCAAAAAGTTGTCAAGTGCCTGTGTTTAAGACATCAGTTCCAGCGTTTCTAAGCGACTCAGTAGCGCATGCATGCGATAATGAAGAATTTAGGAAAGCGAAAAGATTTAAGGAAAAAGACAAGAGAGTTCTGATCCTCTGCAGCGCACTACTGTTGAATGCAATGCGTAATCTGACAAAAGCCCCAGTGTTTTTGTGTGCTTCTGGCGAAATGCCAAATAATCGGGTTTCTTTCTAGTCTTGGCTTGTAGCATCAGGACTACGTCTTTCAGATAGTGCATTTATCCTAAATATATTCGAATTCTCATCGTAAACATTAAAATACAGTCTGTGTTGATGATAGCTCCCCTTGTGGTGGTCTGTGCGTCCTTAAGTTTGCGGCCTAAGTCGGCATGTCTATCACTAATTGGGTCGGCTTCCATCTTATTCACTTTACCAGTAGCGCTGCTGGAGCTTTTTGAAGTGTGTGTTGCATTTTGCAGGTGCAAGATCGGGTTTGCAACGAATAACTGACGACGATAAGCTAGAAACAGCAATAGCTAAGAAGCGAGACGAATTGCTGCGGCAAGCTGATCAGGGAGACCTGATAACTTTTGGGATTGTGCCCGAGCTCGTCGGGCGCTTTCCAGTGATTGTTCCTTTCCACAGTCTCGATAAGGTTTGTTTATGCTTGCGAATTTTACACTGCAATACCAGGGAATTTCTCCCAGAGAATACGCGATAATGCTTGGCACGAATTTGCACTTACCTTGAAAAACGTAATTTCCAAAATCTCGTGCTTTGCGACAAAATCTTCCTGTGATCCTCCAGTAATATTAAAATGAAATAGCTAAACTATTTTTAGCGGCGGTGATTCTTCGTATTTTCCAACGATTTTTGCCAAAAAAAAAAATTCAGAGCTTCAGAAAGCGTTTTGTATTTCGTAGTGGATGTGATGTATTGCAGAGTATGCTAGTACGAGTGTTATCGGAACCGGCAAATTCACTTTTGGCACAAAAAAAATTGGAATTTGCGATGGATGGGGCGGACCTGTCCTTCTCATCCGATGCACTGGACGAAATTGCCTCACTTGCTTTGGAACGTAAAACAGGTGCACGTGCATTGCGTTCCATTGTTGAGAAGGTTGGTCATAAGCTTTCTGCCTTGTGGAGTATTTCGAAAACGAGCAAACTAAAGTATTTCGTGATGAAAACCTGTGCCTTTTGAGTAGCACTAGTTTTAAAGTATTTTAATGTTGGAAGAAGAAAAGGCTAGTAGGGTTAAGAAGTTAATAAAACTTGAAATGTATTATAAAATATACTATAATAGGTAAGAAATGTTTCGGTCCATTAAGTCGTATACATTTCTTACCATTACCACAATTGGACCTCATCAGTACAACGACTGTAGTAATTTGTATGAATTTGAGTTTAAATAGTTATGCTATTGAAACCAGTATAGGTAAAGATAAAAGTTAAGTGTGCAAGTATGAAGTAAAGTTGATGTGAAATCCCACCGTAGAAGGGGTTATTATCTCTATATCCAATCCAGAAGATTTTCGGAGAGGTGTCTTAATTCGATCCACAGTTGGCCTCCGTGCTGTTAGCGGCTGGTGGGCTTTTCATGAGTGATCTAGCTGAAGCTCGTCTTGTTTATGCGCTGGGCATTTCTTAGTCGTCGTGCCGCCTTAATGTCATCTTCCAGCGTTGCGTTCTCCATCTCCAACACCAGCTTTTATCCGTGAAATGATCATTAGCTGTTGTCTGTATATGTAATAATTGGCCAACGCACGGGCTGTCCGTGTGAAGATGCGTTTTTTTGCTATCGACACCGGCTTTTTCGGTAT